AGCCACAGAGGATGGGAGTAATGTGCTGAAGCAGAGGCCTCATAGGTAGCACTCTGCTGAACCTTATTTAGAAGCATACACACCCCAGTAAGAAAGGTGTTACAGCAGCCTAATCACAATGGAATAAAGGTGTATCAATATTTCACCATCAGATGTCAAAGCACAGGTCCTTAACCTGGAATTGTTATGCAGATGGGAGGTAGATACCCTTCCCACTGTTAACATAGGGATTTGGGAATGTTTCAGGGTTAGTCTTTGTTAAGGGTTTTGAAGGGGCTGGGGACATAGAACACATAGCCAAATGTATTGGACTGATCGACATTGTGTGTCAGCCTTCTGGGCTATGATTTCCTGTTTCACTGCATTTCCGTTGGAACCTCTTTAACCTTGCCAACGCTTGGTTACAGACGCAGATTTGTGTAAGATAACATGCTTTCAGAACAGAGTTGTGAAAGGGATGTGGTGGGATGCAGATGGGATGTATTTAAGAAGGTCTTATGTGAAAAAGATAAATACCCTTGGATTACAGAGCAAAGAATGTGTTTGTTAAACCTTGCTGGTTTCCTGAGCTCTTAGCATTCGGGTTAAAGGAACAGATGAGTTTGAAGAGAAGCAGATGGCACTGAGCACACAGGGTGCTGGGTGATACAACTCAGCATCAGTGGGAGAGAGTGCTGTCCTGCAGCAGCCACTGACCACACTCACTGCGGCATCGCTCTGTAATTCATGTGCCTGGTATTGAGTTAGAATCAGCTCTGCTCTGTTCAGAGGGATCAGAGCTAAATTAGAGTGCTTTGGATCAAGAACCTTAACACCAGCGTTTTGGAAATATGACAGTAATGATTTTATAGGAAGACCCTAGTGTCATAGATCGCTGAGACCAACAGCATGTGGTAAATGCACAGCTGCAGGGAAGTAAAAACTCATGTGCACAAATGACTGGAAAAAATCCAAACCCGTGTTTAGGAGTCAAAACAGAAGATCATTGAGGAAGCTGATAACATTAAAGTGTGTTGTTGAGTTAATCCAAATCAGACATGCTTGTGCCATCAGATTTGTGATGTTGCGCTGAGGAAACCTGTTTTCCGCAAACTTTTGAAAAGTGTCGTTTGATGACAACACAGTGCCATGAGAATCCCGCAGTCTCTTACCCTCTTCCTGCAGCAGACACGCGTCCCGAGAAGCAGAGTCTTCGCTGAAGAAACCGCAGTTCCACCTTGACCTGTGGTTTTACTTCACCCTGCAGAACTGGGTTCTGGACTTCGGCAGGCCCATCGTCATGGTGAGTTGAGGCCAGTACAGCACAGTACAGAACAGCAGTGTGTTGAGTGATCAAGCGGGGCTCACAGCACCTGGAGATACTCCACAGGGTCTCACGGTTCTAAAGCAGTCACAGGAAAGCAAAACTCCTAATGCATAGCAGTTGTATCTAATTCTGCATTTCTAAACTACACACTGTAATGCAGAAAGTGCTGATAAGTTATTGAAGCAATGCGTTTAGTATTATTTTCACCTCACATATACAGTGTGCATAAACAGATTTACTCCAAATCCAGAGACGCTGTATGAATATTCAGTACACGGCAGCTCCTAGAACCCGAAATGGATTACACTGCAACGCAAATGGAGTCTTACTTGGAAATGTGTTTTGGCTTTGCAAGCAATGAAAACAGTTTTCAGCTGCCGTGAAAACAGTCTGATTTCTGTGCAATTTCAGATTGTCTTGCCACTGGAGTGGTTCCCCCTGAACAAGCCCAGCGCTGGTGATTATTTTCACATGGCCTACAACATCATCACTCCCTTCCTGCTCCTCAAGGTAACTAGAAACGC